AGCCTGCAATTATAAAATTTTGCTTCAGCCCAGCCAAGCCTGCAAATTTTTGCAGGCCAGGCCAGGCTGCAGGACCCAACATAGGCCTCTACTCTCTTTTATTTATAAAAAATACAAAAACCATTTACTCAATATTTTATGCCAATTCCCTATTGATATTATAACAAATACAACACCTTCTTCAATAATAATTCTACTATTGGCCTTTATGGATGATACTACCTGGTATTGTAAAAGTGCAAATGTATTGCAAAATATTATAAATGATACTTCTACATTATATAAACTTAATAATATAGACATTAATGGTTCCAAATCCAATCTTCTTCATATTAAATCCAAATTCTTATCAAATTCAACTTCTTCTCTTACTATTAGCAATCAATTTATTCTTTTTAGAAAACCTTAAGATGTTATATACTATCTTGATATTTTTTATGATAGTGAAGGTTTTCCTACACCAACTCTTAATTAAATTTAAAATAAAATTGAAAACTTTCTTATTCTTATTTAATACAAAAAAGTAACATCCTAACAAATTTTAGCATTCTTTAATCAAATTTTACAACCTTCTTTAGAATATCTGCTTCAAATTACTCCAATTTATGCAAATACACAATCTAAATTTACTTGCTTATTTACTATTTATATAAAAAAAATGCTATCACTAGCCAAAATTACTAACAATATAATGCTTACAAATCCACTTACTTTTAACCTACTATCCTTTAATAATATTATTTAAAAAGTTAGTACATCTAATATCAAATGGATTTTTAACATACTACCAATTCTCAAAAATATTAGTATACAATGAATTAAAGACTGGCTAACTAAAATATAGTCTTCTTAACTTTCAACTAATGTCTTAATTAACCACTATCATAAAATACAAAACTATACTTTACTCTTTCACCTTTCTCAACTTGCTTTAAATAATATCTCTTCTACAATTAATTTACAACTCTCTCTTTATCCTTTATTAATACCAAAAACTCTCATATTATCTATGATATTCTTTCTCTTAATCCACCTATTACTACTATCAATAGTCTTAGAAACAACAAAATTATTTTCTTAGAACAAATCACAACTGCAGATAACAAAAATATTCTTCCATGGAACAATATATATTTACACACAAATAAATCAACTAAAGGATGTCAACCACAATGGTTTACCCAAATTCTACAACAAAATCAATCTAATTCTATCAATATAACTTGGCTTATTCTAAATCTACCTTCTACAAATCTCATTCTTAACACAACCAAATTAATATCACCACATCTAATTTCAAATTCTTTCTTCTTTTATCAGCTTTATTATACAAATTATCAACCATTCTATATCTCTCATTAAACCACTCTTTAACAACCTTCATTCTTTAAAATCTCTCTATTCACCTTAGGTCTTTCACAGCTTTTTACAACTTCTAATTACCTCATACCAAACTACTATTCCTTCTATTTACCTTACAATCTAACTAACAAATTAAATAACTAAACAATTATTTAAATTGAGTTTAGTGAAATCCTAGATTTAATTAATATACATAATTCTACTTCCTCTCAACTACCTTCTTTATTACAATCACAAATAATTTTATTATCCTATGATGCTCAACTCATCCAACAACTCATCTATTCATTAATATATCAAAAACAATTAACTGATCTTAACTATCTTATTTCTCAACTCAATACAAATAAACTAAATATCTATACCAATGGATTAATCAAAAATCTTCAAACTTCAGATGTAAAATCTGATATAGAATGGATTTGCAAATATGACACATTAATAAAATTCAATGCAGCTATATAATTCTATCCTAACTTACTTGTACTGAACTTGAAGCAGTTCTTTATCTCTTAGTTGCAGCTTCATCTAACACCTCTTTAAATATCTATATTGATAACACAACAGCTATTAAAAATCTTGAACAATCTATCACTCCTAAACCTATACAAACTAAAAACTAGGATATTATCTACTATATTAACTATCTCAAACATCTTAAAAACATTACTACCACTTTTTATAAAGTTAAATCACATTTTACAGACTCATTTCACAACCAAGCAGATTCACTTGCTAAATAAGGAACCTCAAAATCTATTATTAAGCTTAATATCTCAAAATTTAGTACTCCAAATCACTTTCTATAGAACAATCTTCTAATTGTCTTTAAAGTGTACACCTTTATTAAAAATATTATAACTATTCAAGAAACTGCCAAAGGGTCAAATTTAAAATTTTTCTAAAATATTACTAACATTAAATAGTTTCTTCTATTCAAAATTATCTTCTTTCTTGAAGATAACTTACAAAAATACTTCTTTCATATTAAAATTCTTATCAATAATTTACCAACTATACAAAACCTTAACATTCACTATTTCTACCTTTATATTATACTTCATTGTTCCTGCTGCACAAATATCGAAAATAATCTTCATTTGTTTTCATGTCCTAGCAATACCACAAATATTTTACAATCACTTAAAACATTATACAGGACACTCTTCAATCACTCCAAATTACTAACACAACCTCAACAACTCTATTAAATATTTTTTTAAATTTTACATTTTATTTCTCAAATCCTCAATACAAATATATTTTATATACTATTACTGAAACTTATTCTATTACTATATATAAAAACATTAAAACACTTATCAATAAACAAACAGATAATTTTCTACTTTACCTTTTAAACAAACTACTTAACTGGTATTACCAAGATCTTTGGTCTATCTATAATATATATCAACATCAATGTGAAAACTCTCACAACATTACATCAAAATTCAAATATACCAAAATCAGTTTACCAACTCTGCCCAATTCTTCAAACAGTACTAATACTCTCTCTCAATCTATAAATACCAAACTCTTAATCACAAAATGGCTCTTATAGGCAGTGTTGTACATTTTTAATGTTCAAGCCATATAACTCAGATATGGACATTTTTGGACATTGTCCGATGTCTGAGTTTAAGTTATGTCTGAGTAAATATATTATCACTCAGGTGATGTCTGAGTTGTATAACTAGGACTTAGACATGACTCGGACTTGAACATTCAGACAATGTCTGAATGTAATAAGAATTTTTTATTGTGTAATATGATTATTTGCTCAATTATAAACTTTATTGAATATAAAATCAGAAATATACATATAGGATTAGAGTTTAGGGTTTACTATCTAACATTATCTATATACAATAGTATTCGAACTACAGTATTTTCTTAGGCCATAAAGGGAATATCAGCAGTATAAACATAGCATTGAAAGAGAATCAAGAAAAATAGCTGGTACATTAAGCTAATAGGTTCTTGCTAACATATCTAGATTATAGGAGCTCTGTGGTCATTGCACTAAAAACTTAGTCATTAAGCCACTTTGAGGAATTCATGCAGTTTTTGCATCAACAATCATTGAGCTGCATAATTAATTTTTCGATGAGGGACTATGGAAGGGTCGAAAGAGCCAGCCTAGTACTATAAGGTGGGTAATAGTAAAACCAAAACTAATGCTCCTTACATTCACTCACAATTTTAAATACTTAATGAAGAACAGAAATTGTCTTAACCTTAACCCGCTTATATGTAAAGACTGCACATGAAAGTAATTAACCTTCACATACAAGTTCGTGAAAACTTTTCATAGTTTACCCTCTTTTCTTATGCATTGTACTTAAATTAAATACTTTCTATTTTTATTAAACTCATTAGATGTGCTCCTAACTTCTATCACTGGTTATAACAGGATACATTTCCTGGTTCTGCACATGATATAAGATCTTCTGATCTTGTAATAATGCTAGCCTTGTTACTTTATTGACAAGCTAGATAATTATGAATTTATTATTTAACTATATAAAAACTTGGTATAAAATTATTTTATACATACTGGTATATATGTTAGTAAAAAATCTATTGTATATTTCTGCTAATAGCATTTAGCCTAATAAGAACTTCTAAATTTAGTTAAATCTTATTTTTGCTTAAGTATACATATACATATGATGGATATATTTCATATCAAAACAATAGATGTTACATATATAAATCTGTTTAATCTATCTCTATGTATTTCACATGTTAGTTATTTTATAAAAGCTAAAATCCAAATAAATAAATTTTTGCATTTTTTATACTGAAAAGCTAATAGTATCATGTAGCATCTGTATATACTATAGAGAAGTTATTTATTTAAACTTGAGAAGCTATTTAAACTATAGAAAAGATTTGAATTTTATAGAAACTCAAACTATAGAGAAGCTATTTAATTAGCATTTAACTCTAATTAACTTTATATTCTTAGATAAGAAGCTATATGATGTGCTAGAATATAAAGATAAAACTTTGAAAGACTATAAAGAATTATCTATATACTATTATTATATAATATTAAAACACTTGTAAAATATGAATAATGTTCTGTTTTGGTTATTGTTACAGATATGGAATTGAAGTTTAAAAAAATAACAAGATTATAAAAGTCTTTAAACATGAATAAATCTAATGAAATGTATTAAATTAGTTAATAGTTATTGTTAGAGTATTCAAATTTATAAAAGATTTAAACTCAAAAAGGAATGTTGGCTTTTGCTTTCTATATTTTCCCTCATTCATAAAATTTTTATGATTCTTTTGTATTGAAATAGGAATATTACATATTTGAAATAAATAAAAGTTAATTCATATTTATTACCATATGACTGAATTTTATGTAATATATAAAACTCATCTTTATCTAAAAAGCCAATTTAAATAATCAATTGAGACACATTAAACTTTGACTATGCTATTATCAAAATTGTTAGAGCAACATATTAAAACTAAAGAAAGGTTTAGTAAAAGCAATGTCAAAGTCTATTGCAAAGCATATGTTGAAACCTTGGGTGAGAAAACAGGCAAAGAAAAAAGTTTTCCAAACAAAATGGATAGAATAGTTCAGCACCTAAAAAATTGTGCATACTTTGTAGAAAGAACAACAGTGGAAGAAAGGCAGAAATTTTTGCTACTAGTAGTGAAATGATCCTAAATAAAAAACAATTAGGTATATAAAGTTTATTATATTTTTTCTTATATTTATTTGTTATATATAATAAGAAGTAATATAAACTTTTTTTTATAGATTCATTCAATTTTGCATCTAATTCTACACATAATACTATCTTACGATTCTCTTTTTATGGACCTTTTGATAACTATTTGGTTCCACCATTATTAAAACAAGATAAAGAAAATTTGAAATCCTTTTATTAAGAATAACAGTATCTTGTGAATGGGCTCTAGATTGGGTTAACAATCCTGAGGCCAAAGATTTATTTCAGTTTTTAAGCCCTAATCTTAAGCTTCCAGATCGTTGAATTCTTGGTAGACGAATTTTAAATGCTGCTGTTTCTGAAAAAGATAAAACAATGCATGATGAACTTTATCAAGATATAATTGGTATTACATTAACATTTGATAGATGGACAAATATTAAAAATAAGCAATTATTTGGTGTAATAATTATTTTTTCAAAAGAAAAACCATATGTATGGCATGCAACTGATATTAGTTCAGAGAGAGAAACACATGTTAAAGTAATAGAAAAAACAAGATTTATGATAAATGAATTAAAAAAAATAAAAATAAAGGTCTTAGCAGTTGTTACAAATAGTGCTGGCCCATATGCAGTGGCAAGGTATGATTTTTATTAAATTTTAATTATAGAAATTCTCAAGCTTAATAGGTTAAAAAATAAATTAATTTAGCAATTAAATTAATATAAGTAATAATCTATTAGTAAATTTTAAACTTTAAATTAAAAATTGAGAATATTATAAGTTTTATAATTAATATAATATTTAATTTCAGATAAATTAGTGACAAATTTATACTCTAACAAGTGATTATAAATCCTATTTTTTAAAAATATATACTTATTTACATAATTATTTGCTAATAGATATTTCTAAAAGAAACCAATTTTGTTATCAGCTACAACTATTTAATTTTCTATTAGAAATTGTAAAACAAAAATAGGATCATTTTAAGCTTTCTCTTATTTTTTAAATAAGTGAATTCTGTAACCTTCTACTACTGTAAAGTGCCAACTGATGCATTTGAATATTCCTAAAGATTTAAGATATATCCAGTATATTTTTTTTATTCAGCTTTACAGATTAGTTATTCTTTGATACTATTTTTTACAATATAATATTTTTAGTATCTAGTATAAATTAATTTTTTTTTTTTTAAATATTAACGGTGAGGCCATGCCTTTAACTTTATTGAAATTCAATTAAAGTTTTTACAAAGAAAAGCTTGCTTTTAAATTACATAT